CCTGTGAGTCTTAGCAGATATAAGTGAATAGGAAGACTGTAAGTGGTAAGGCACAATATAAGTAATGCAATTTTAGCTAGAAGAGCCAGAACAAAAGGTGCTTGAAAGATCTGGTAAGATTAAGGTAATGCAAAAACTAAACTCAACGAATGAAGCAGGCAATGTGCAAGTAAAAGCTGCAGCTTGGGACTGTAACAGAATATTGTCCTTGCCACATTCTGTATTTTCAGCATTACTGGACATCCTCGCCCCACACCAATCAATGACTGTGCAACATGCACCGAGATGACATGCCACTTCCACACAGTATGTCTCAATGAATGTTAATTTAGAAACGCTGATGTTACTTTGACAGCGAGTGTGCTTGTTCTGTTACAAGATTATTTTTAAAATAATTTTTAATAAAGAAAAAACAGCTTGAACTTATGTTTATTGCCTACAGTTAAATGTCACATCGGATCTCCTCTGAAGTCTTCAGAGTGTTCAGTTCTGCTTTTCCAAGCACCTGTGCGGGATGGCCTAATACAGCCACGGAGAGACTAAGTCCCCTGCAAGAGGTGTCACCTGTCTGTCAGACAGCTACCCTTTGACTTCTGCTTCACCATATTGTATAGTCAGGTTGGTTGTTGCCAAAATAACCTAGTCATTGTTACCTATGAGAGACTAAATGGAATATTTTTATCTGTAACAAGCCGCTTCTGTAAAGCTTACATTTACCTAAATTCCCTAAAACAAAATCCGTATTCTTCGCAGTACATACTTCAATGAACTGCTTTGTTCTTTACACCGCTATGCCTCGGCAGTTTATAAATAACAAGGGTCACCGGATGGCAGAACAGATTGACGTGGTGCCACGCTGTTAGAAGCCTAAGGCTAAACCCGGGGTGCTCGATTAGTCAGTCACTCAAATTGCTGTTGAGTGAATCTCATTTTAAGGAGAAAAATCCTGCATCAACAGGCAAACAGATTAGGCAAGCACAGGGTATTTTATGCATGTTTTTCAGTCCCCGTCAATACTTTCAGAACTGGTAGAAACAAGAATTTAACCCACTATGCATCTTTTCCGTCCCATAATGAGGACCGCGGATGGCTTGTAGATTCCGCAAAGCGGGTTGCAGAGACTGAAGAGAAGTGAAAAAACGCCAGTTTAACTACTCTAAGAGGAGCTCCATAAAGCAGAACGAGACCACAGGCAAGAAAGATGTTACTCTGCGACCCGGGATTCAAAACAATTAAAACGTGTTGTTTTTTTTTTAAATTACTTCACCCCAGGCGTTAACACGAATATTAATTTAAGCGGAGAAGCTGAACCTGGGCCCCCCGCCGCCCTTACCGGGGGGGGGGGGGGGGGGGGGGGGGGAAAACCCCAACAAGCAACTTTTCCC